AACCATACAAATCACTGCTAGCAGACGAATAGGAAAAGCATCCAAGCGGCTTACACTCCTAGCAATCAGTCTCTATCAGCATTCAGTAAATCCCCCCAAAGACGAGACAAGGCTCCGTGTTGGGGGTCAAGCAGTGGTCTGTTTAATGAGGGCTACCTGCCCAGTATTTATACAGGTCTCCCACCTGGTGGACACTCCCCTAGGGGACCAAATGGGAGACTGTGACAAGGGACAGACAAAGTAGACAAATAGGACACACAGTCACATTGTAATCCCACAATGCATCCTGGCTTAGTCCCTTCTGCCCTGGAGATAATTGAGAAGTAATTCAATTATCTCCCAAGGCCAAGGCAAAACTCCATTACACATGTGTAGGGACACAAAGACAGACTATCACTTTAAAATACATAAAGTAACATTTATACACATAAAACACAGGTGTAACTATCCCCAGATAGCTCAGGTCTGGCTTTTGATATTAAGTGAATGGTAGCTCAGACCTACACACAAACTAGTTTAATGCATACCATGGAGCCAAAGTCTTTACAGTCAGTTTCATACAGAATGATGGGCTCCATGGGATTCCTATCTGAGTTATAACACATTCAACCAAAACTACCGAACCCCAGGCAGAAAACGCAGATGAAGCTTTTCTGCGATGCAAGATGTCTTTTTAACAGGGGCCCATAGTCCAAAGGCAGCAAGAGCTGACAACCAGAGCTTCTCAATGCAGTAACTGGCGAGATTGGTCTGCGTCCGCATCTCTCCCCTTTTCCAAACAGACTAACAGGGTATCTGACCTCCTGCCGGTCAGTGCCCTTGTTAGTCCAGCAGCCCACCCACAAAACAGATACAGCAGTACAGCCCACCCACAATAACTGGTTACTACACCTGAGTAAGGGAGAATCTTGTCCATGTCCAGGTGCCTCACCACAACTGTGTGGGGGACTGATAGGCTGCCTTGGTGGGTTGCTGAGTGGGCAGAGACCAGCGGTACTCTGCCCTGATGCCAGTACTACCGCTGGAGTAGTCTGGTTGAAGCCTGGTTGCTGGAGACCGACTGTCTCCCCTTTAGTTACACCGCTCTGCTGCTGGAGACCGACTGTCTCCCCTTTTGTTGCACAGCTCTGCTGCCGGAGTGGGAGACCGACTGTCTCCCCTTTGGATACTCTAAGCTGTCGCTGGGGAGAGGGGGTAACAGGCTCCTCTCCCGATAGAACACTCTGCCGCTGGGGAAAGGAGACTGAGCTCTCTATTCCCTGCCCATTAATGATCCGCTGCTGGGGAGAGGTGGTAGCAAGCCCCTCTCCCATACATACTTTCATCCTCTGTGGAGGGAGACCGACTGTCTCCGCTCCCAATACAGTGTCCTGCTGCTGGGGAAAGGAGACTGGGCTCTCTATTCCCTGCTGGACACTCTGCCGCTGGGGAATGGAGACTGGGCTCCCAATTCCCTGCTGTATCTCCCGCTGGGGAATGGAGACTGGGCTCCCAAATCCCAATAAATAACACTGCCGCTGGGGGATGGAGACTAGGCTCCCAATTCCCCAAAAATCACGCTGCTGCTGGGGAGGGAGGACACTGCTCTCCTCTCCCTGGACTTCACACTGCCTTCCCGGCATATCACTTGGCTGCTGGGGGGCAGGAACAACTACCTCTGCCCCCTGTAACTCAGCCTGTCGCTGGGGAGGGAGGACACTGCTCTCCTCTCCCTGTACTTCACACTGCCTTCCCGGCATATCACTCTGCTGCTGGAGGGCAGGAACAACTACCTCTGCCCCCTGTAACTCAGCCTGCCGCTGGGGAGGGAGGACGCTGCTCTCCTCTCCCTGCACTTTACACTGCCATGGGGAATGGAGACTGGGCTCCCAATTCCCAATAAATCACACGGCCGCTGGAGAATGGAGACTGGGCTCCCAATTCCCTGCAGGACCGGTGGAGAGACCTCGGTCCCATCTCTACCGGCCACCTGGGGTTCTTCCCAGAAAATATCAACAATGTCTTCCCAGCTGAATGGGCCTGGAACTGGATCTGTCACCTTGCTGTCCTGCTGAATCTTCTCAATGGAGTGGAAGAGATCTCGGTAGTCCTGCTCCAGTTCCCACTCCAGGGTTGCCAGGTGAGCCAGGTCTTGCTCAATGTTGTGAGTGTCGTCCCAGTCATACCTGCTCTCCCTCCACTCCAAGAGATCACTGAACCGTGCTTGTGTAGGGCTCCCAAATTCAGGCTCTGAAAAAGCCTCCCATAACAAGCCAGGACCATCAAACTCCTCTCCCTCTGGCTTGTCATGCTCGGCTGTCCAGGGCAGGTACTGTGCCCCATACCACCAGAGCGCCTGGTAGGCATCTTCCAGCCAAATCTCCTGCCATACCCGGTGCTCCAATTCCTTCACCCATTCATCCAGGGGCTGCTCTCCCAGGAAGGGCATCCGCAGGGCCACTTGCTTCTGCAACCGCTGCTCTTCACTGGGGAGACTCTCACCCCGCTGGTATTGTACATTATCCAGGGCCTGGTACCAGATGCCTTTCCTTAATGCATCCCGGCCATCCAGGTCCTCCTCCTCGTATGACACTGCTGGTTCCATTCTGTTGATGTCAGGGTCGCTGTACTCAGACATGCGTTGCCCTCAAATTGTAAATCCACGGAATGGTGTTGCCTGTAGCTGTCCTGTAGTCTGTGGGAACGATCCCGCCGCTTGCCACCAATTGTAACGGACCGTTTTGCACAAAAGGGAAAAAAACGCTTAGACGATAATCCCCTTTCAGAGACAGGCACAGCTACTGTAGAATCACCAAAACTCACGAACTGAATACAAGTGAATGCTCCAAACTCCCGAACGGCATACAAGGGAATGGTCCAAACACTCGAACTGCATACAAGGGAATGGTCCAAACACTCGAACTGCATACAAGTGAATGTTCCAAACTCTCAAACTGCATACAAGGGAATAAGGTAGCACTCCAAATACACGAACAGGAACCATACGAATTGCTGCTACCAGACGAACAGGAAAAGCTCCCAAGCGGCTTACACTCCTGGCAATCAGTCCTTAGCAGCATACAGTAAATCCCCCCAAAGACGAGACAAGGCTCCGTGTTGAGGGTCAAGCAGTGGTCTGTTTAATGAGGGCTACCTGCCCAGTATTTATGCAGGTCTCCCACCTGGTGGACACTCCCCTAGGGGACCAGATGGAAGACTGTAACAAAAGACAGACATGTACCAATTACAGACATACAGAAGTAAAACATCCCCACAATGCATCCTGGCTTCCTCCCCTCTGCCCTGGAGAAGTAATTCAATTATCTCCCAGGACAAAGGCAAAACTCCATTACACATGTGGGGACACAAAGACAGACTATCACTTTAAAATACATAAAGTAACATTTATTACATAAAACACAGACATGTAACATATCCCCAGATAGCTCAGGTCTGAGCGCACATTATTAAGTGAATGGCGCTCAGCCCACACAAATACAGTTTAATCGCGGTTATAACACATTCAACCAAAACTACCGAACCCCAGGCAGAAAAGCACGAATGAAGCTTTTCTGCAGGTAAAAAAGATGTCTTTTAACAGGGGGCCATAGTCCAAAGGCAGCAGGCGAGCAACCAGGCTTCTCCAATGCAATGTGGCGAGATTGGTCTCGTCACACAGACGATCAGGCTTGCTCACTGAAGGAATGGGCTTGCAAAGTTGGGGAATCAGGCTTTGCAGACGATCAGGCTTGGTCACTGAAGGAATGAATAAAGAGCCTGATTCTGTTCTTATAGCCCTCCAGATATGTATGCTTCAGTACTTCATTCTGCCTCTCCAGTCCATTGTTGGTATGGATGCCAACATGTAATTCTCCAGTTCGATAAGCAGGTGCCCACTTCTATAATATGAAAAAGGTAAAAACTAAAAAAATCTTTTTATACTTCCAAAATAATAAAATAAAAGTGCAGTCTTTCTTTAATTGATAATGTAAAAATAGGGTGGTGGTGTATAAAACTCTTGACTCCACACACAGACAACATACAATATGTTCAAATGGCATTCTTTGACAAAAACTTTGATATTACCTTTATTTCTGGCAACCATTTGTTTGAAAACCATTGTCTCAATGTGTCACTTTTGTGCCATATGTGTGATTCAGTAAGTGCACCAAGTGCCTTCTGGTGGTCTTCAAAGCTAGCTGCTAAGGCAATTTTCCGAAGCATACTTAGCACATGTTGCCGACTCTCATATACACCATGGTCCTTTTTGGTAACCCACTCGGTCCAGGCTTTCTCTCGATGAAAATCTGTGTGTCTAAAATGTAAGATTTTAATTAGAACTGGAGTGTGGATAGATTTTATCTCATCTTGCATTTCAATAGTAATAATAACAGCATGTAAACCAGTAACATTTGTGGGTAAAGGGTGAGTAATGAAAAATATCTTAAAATAATATACATCACAGTAATTTGTAGGTCATTTTCTATTTTCACACATGAACTTGTAAAAGTTAATCTTAATGCACACCAAAATATTGAAAACTGTAAAGTTGCAATGGCACTCAAATTTTATGATTGTCTAAAAAGAAAAAAATGAAATGATTGATCTACATGCTTTCAAGTAACATCCAAAAATTCGTATAATACTAAAGAATTTTATCAGTCATAAATTATATTTGCGACAGAGATTTTGTACCATTGAACAGATCTTTGCACGTTAGTGATATTTTATATTTTCTTTACTTGAACCTATAAAATATAATATAGCTACCTTTGAAGGTTTTGGAGATGGCATTTATCTCTTCCATACAAAAATCAACTTGGTTTCCACCCTGGATTCCATGTTTTGAACATTTCCAATGCCTCTTGAATTGATGTAGTAGTCTCCTGTTGAATCACAAAGGCACCAACTACAACATAGCATACATTTGTACGAACACAAAGGGAAAAAAGTGGAAGTGCGTAACGAGTTGTTCGGTATGTAGCATCCAAGAGCGTTATTTGGTTACCGTAAAGTTTTAGCAATCTTTGTTGCCAATGTGTTTGGTAACAAAACAGAAAGTTTTGTGGATGCACAGTGTTATCCTCACAGGTGCTCAACCTGCAAAAGACATTATTTTCTGGATACAGTTACTTCCAGGAATTTACCAAGTGCAGGATATTTTCCTGGTCTACTGTCGAGCTTCTGCCCTCGCCCTGGATTTAAACATTAGGTTGGCAATATCTTTCCTGGTCGGGCTACAAAAGCATTAGTGTGTCTTGGAATTTCATTCACTTTCCTGACACCACTCCTGTACAAATCAATTATTTTATGTTGTACTCTTACATCCACCTTCTCTCAGACATTTACCAACTGTCAAAAAAAAAAAAATACAAGTTAAAAATTACAGTTAAATTGAATATCTATCCTAAATGCACAACTCTGTGTGGAGCAGCATGTCCGTTATTCTATCCATACTGTACTCAAAGTACTTTTTGATCTGACATAACATCACATAAATTTTTTGATTTCAAGGTTAGCAAAGTAATATAAAAATTATATCACACATTTCTATATTTTCTTGAGAATCAGAAATAGGATTAATAGGCTGTTTGTTTGATTTTGTAGAACCATTGTTTCCTTTGACTTGACAGATTTGGATTTGCTTATGCCAATCAGAATTGTTGGATCATATGAATTGTGCAGTTAGTTGGTTAGTAAGCATTTTGTTGGCGCTATATCAATAATAACAATAATAAATATTCATGTTGATGTATGCATTTCTATTTATAATGGGATATATTTTAAGGTTGCATATTTTTCATTTTCAAATTCAGGCAGGCCCTCACAATTCATATTCTTAAAGGATAAGTTAAGTCTGTATTTGTTTTTTAACCCTTGCTTCCTAAAAGTATAGGAAGATTTGAAAGTTTTTGTTTTTTTTTTAATAAAATTTCAAATCTATAATGTGCATTCTTTAGATATTACCTCCCCATAAGTTGCATGATTATTGTGGTCAGACAGTTGTGGAAATATTGTTATATATCCATGAACCACTTTCAATTGCTCAGTATCTTGCAGAAGCGCCTTTCGAAGTTTCTTTGATGCCGTTTTTTTTTCCTTTTCTCAGTATAACTTTTAATCTGAAAAATGCAATATTAAAAAAAAATAATAATAAATAAATTCAATACTACAAGTAGAACACACTTTAAAGTAATAACTTTTTAACGTACAGATTAGTGAATGTTTATCAAGCTCTAAGGCGCAGGATAGTCAAATAGATTTAGCCATGAGATTAGTGGCATGCATTATTTTGCAAAAACATACACCCCTCTGACAGTGAATGCATGCACTCACTATGGCATAATGGTTTGAATTTTTGTTAGAGACATAAAATAAATAGTTAAAGTATCTAACTTCATAACAGCATGAATTCATAAACCTACCCAATTATAGGCCTGGATTATTACAGCTGATTATAGCTGATTGAAAGCAACAGCAGAAGTAGTTCCCTTGTGGCCTCCTTGACATGGCTGCCGTGGAGTTCATTTGTTATCTTCATAGGCTGATTGCACCTGTGACAATGCCATTAAAGAGTTGGGGGCCTGCAAGTATGCCGTTAAAGGGTGGGAGAGCAATGAGGGTGCCATTGGGAGGGGGAGTGGACGCTAGGTGAGAATGTGGTTGAGGCGTAAGGGGAGTCTGCAACCTAGGGGGGTTAAGATGAAGGCAAAGATGAATGGGAGGGAGAAACAAAGACTGGTACGTCCTTCACCAGTTTCCTTCTGTGAAGCCCCATTTACACTTATTCATCACATTCATGCTGCCCTTCCTAGAGTGCATTATGAAACAGAATGTGAACCATAAAATTTACACTTTCTTTCGATTTTCCTAAATGTAGGGATTATAAACAGAAGAAAAATACATACACACACACACACACACACACACCAATCTCCCAATTGG